GACCCTAATAAGGAAGGTCCACACCTCGGCCATTCCAATCTAGTGAAAATCTATTCTATTTTTAAGAAGCCCAAGGGAAAGAGCCCGGAATCTTCCATTAACGGCTTCCAGGACCCCACCTCTTGAACCTCGCTGTCAGGAAATTCTTGGTCTTATTTAAATGACTCTTACTAAAGCTCACTTTTCTTTCTTTGCTTACGAAACGCTCCCTTAAATAGGCCTTCAGATCAGAAAAAAAGGGAAGAAAGGCAGTTTAAAAGAATAACCACATGAAGACCAGACTTGAGAAGTTCAGTTTAATATAAAACTTCCGTGGCACCCTCCCATCTGGTTATAGAAGCATCAAGAAGAGGCTGATTGAGAGACAAATATGATGGTGGCCTCTCTCATTCTGATGCAGGCTTTTTGGAGAACATTTTTAATTAGTTGAAACAATGGGGGGCAACAGAGCAAATGACATTGTCTCCAGGCTGGATGGAAGGATGATCTGGTTGGACAAACTCCACACACTGATGGCCAAGGCTTGACTTGATACCAGAATGCTCACAGCACCGTTCTAGCATCCTTAAGTGGCAGTTAAGGACTGAGGGCAGCGTCGCATGGTGACATCGTGGATGTCTGGGAACCGCCTGGGGGATTCAGGCATGAGCCTTTTGAATATCAGATCTGAATATGTGCACTCCTGAACTTTGCTGCCCCACCGGCCATGGGTAACGTGGGGTTTACTCAAAGCCGTCAGGAATTAGGATGCAGAGTCCGCTCGGCCAGAGTCCACTCGGTAATCCCAAAGAGCTGTACGATAAACACTCAACGCTGGGATTCTGTAACCCGCAGAAGGGAAATGTTCCTGTCACAGTGGCCAGGTCTAGTCTACACCCTGCAGGAAGCAATCTCTGTGGTCGTCTGGTTGCCAGCATCCTTCCGGTGGGAGACAGCTCTGGTCAGTTGCTGACTCCTAATCACCTCAGCGTCCTACCACTCGTGTGTTGGACGCTGTCCTGTTCTACAGGTCTGAGGGGTCCCTGGGTGAGCCTCTCACCCTAAGAGCTAGTGGCTGAAACACCAGGCCTCCCTCCTCTGTCGCTGCTTGCTAACGCCCTTCACTCAGTCACCCTTGTGTGTAGCCCGGTTTGCATCTCTGGGAGATAAACATTTCCTCTGAGCCTGCCTCTCCACCTTACAACCCTTGTGAGGCAAACGTGGGAAACGTTCACCCCCTCCAGCTCCTCAGGCCCAGATCAAAAGACTGGAAAAAGCATCGCTTGGTCAAAGTCTTATTACAAATATTCTGGAATTGTTCTTAACAACAACAGCAAAACTGTCAGCACTAAATACACTTAATATTGGTGATAATAACAGACTGTGGTTACCAGGACAGGGGAAGCGGGGAAGGACAGATTAGGAGTTTGGGATTAACAGATACACATTACTACATATAAAACAGATAAACAACAAGGACCTACTGTAGAGCCCAGGGAACTGTATTCAATTTCTTATAATGAGCTGCAATGAAAAGAATATATATACACATTCTTATATATATATAATTCATATGTATTTATTATGTATATTAAGAGGTCCTTCAGAGAGGTAATACCACGGCTTCTTAGGGTTTGCCCATTTTTTCTTTCAACAAGGATGTGTTCAGTGACATGTTTGCCAGGCTCCGGGCCAGGTGCTGGGGGTACAGAGTGATTGATCGAGATACAGACCAGCCCTTACCCTGCTGGCGGCTCCAGTAAACAGCAATGGCAGTGAGTTGCGACGAGTCGTGACAGTAAGAGGGAAACCTCAGGGGGTGGAGGGGACAGCTAATGTAACCGAGCAGGACCCTATGGGGACTTCCCAGGACAGACCCTACCATGTCCTCCATCTGCTTCTTGTTTGTAGAAAAACTTTAGCCCCCTAGGCCTCCCTCGAGTTTTGAAGAATAAATTTAATCAGAGAAGTGAGAAAAATGCAGAAGCGAAGGAAAAGAGTCAAGCAAGACAAAATAATGACAGTTGATCCATGAAACGAAGTCCAAGGCCTTTAGTCCCTCCGCAGGCTACAGGTAGGATTCTGAACCATATCCTTGGAGCTGTTTTGCAGATCCTGGAACCCCCACCAGATGGAAGGAGTTAACTGCACACTGACCACAAGCACATAGACCCCAGGCCCACTGGACGGAACCAGAGGGTTAATGATGTTGATTCCGATGACCTCACCACCAACCAAACAGAAGAACACCCGTCAGCTGACCATACACCCCGTGACCCTCTCCCTCACGCTGTCTTTAAAAACCGTTTCCCAAAAGCCATCAGGGAATTTGGGCCTTTTGAGCAGTAACAGCCTGGACTTCTTGCTTGGTGCCTACAATTAACGCCGCAATTTCCTTCACCACAACCCAGTATCAGATCAGCTTTGCTGCGTGTGGGCCAGCGGACCCAAGTGTGGTTCGGTAACACTAAGACCCAGACTCAGGAGGGGCAGAGGGGTCAGGGAAAGCCTGGGGGGCAAAGTATCTTCTAAGCTCTGAACTGAAGGTTTACCATGAACCAGCCAGGGCCAGAGGCGAGGGCACGGGAAGGCGTGTTCTAGGAAGAAGGAAAGACATTGGAAGCATGTTCTAAAAAGGAATGGAAAGAGGACGGACTTCTCTTGTTTCGTCTAATTCTACATCTTCTTGATCAGGAAGGGCTGAGAATGACCTTCCCCAAACTGCTGCACATTCGTAATTAAATATCTTCTCTGTGACTCAAGTCCACTTCAGATGCCCCCAGTCATAGTTTCCCAGGGCAGGCTGGCGAGCAGACTGTCAACTCCCTGCCCCTGGAGGTCCCATTTCCTGTCCAAGAGGGTGGCTGCCTTCTAAGACTCTAAGAGTTGATATTTTTTAAAAAAAAGCATCTTCAACACACCAGACCACTCACTTCCACACTCCCCAAGCTGATTCTCAACAATTTAAAAATCGCTCCAAATGCTTCGTTAGTTGGCGATGCGGCTAACTTAAGACCTCTAGCTCATCTGACCATCCCGTCCCCACCCTCCAAATCCAAGCCAAAATTTCAGCTCTCAGTAAGATTGTGGGTCCTAGAATTTAGTCCAACAAGGAGATAATCCAACATGCGGAAGAACCCTACTCATGTGGATAAACTGATCACAGCATTTCCTCGGAAATAGTGTAAAATGTTTAAAGAAACCTTAAATGGACCCAAATGGGTAAATGATTTGCTACTAATGGTTTATCTATTTCTGGAATTTATGCAGCTATGAACAAAGATGACAATTTATGGTAACATGGAAAACGCTAGTGAAAGACAATGTTAAGTGAAAAAAAAACACAGAGAATTATTCACACGTTATGATTACAACCATGTAAGAAACACAAATAAGAAAAAGGCTGGAAGGAAGTGTGCCAAGATGAGAAGAATTGAACCGGGATGTGGCGGAGATGGGCTTTCTCCCATAGTTCGGTTTCTCTCTTTCCCACACTGCATTTATAATGCCTTTATGATTGAAGTCTTACTAAAAGCATTAGCTCTTTGTGTTAGCAATCTGAACAGTTTCAAATCCAAGCAGCAGCACGTACAAGGGAACACGGATCTGCGTGTCTATGCGGAACCTCCCCACTGAAGTATCGTCTCCCTGTGTGAATGAGCACGCAGACATCATTTCAATCTGCTCACATGTTGCAGAAAAAATGTGTTACAGCTTGGTTTTACAGCTCAGTTGTGACAGCAACCTGGATCCTGGCAAGAGACCAAGCAGCACTCAGGAGAGTTGGAGAACTCAGGTTTACCACGCCAGCGGGCCCAGAGGACTTAACACTCCAAGCTCTGGACCCCAGCTGTAGGTTTACACAGGCTTTTATAGGCTGCCAGTTTACACTTTGCAACGTCATATGCAAATAAAGTATAACAAAAGTTGACTAATTAGGAACAGGCTTTGCAGAAATGGATCAATCAGGAGGAAGAGAAATAACCAACCAGGAAAGATGGAAATGGACCAATCAGGAGTGAGCCCACTTTCCTAGAAGTTAGCCGTTTCAGAGGCAAAAAGTGAGATAGAGCCGCTGGGCCAGGGAACCAGACGGTGCTGGCAGGAGAGCAGTGCCCTGCCTGGGGGTCCTGCTGGTCTTTTTTATGGGGCTTCCCGCCTCACATGGGCTGCAGCTTCTCAGGGTAGAATATGACGGATGGTAAATAAGAAGCACTGCCCTAAGAATGTGATGGACATTGGAGAATATCAAGCAAATAGAGTTATAAAAGCTGGAGGTGAACAACAGATACGGAATTAAGTTCTTTCAAACAAGTTTGGAAATTTCACTGTTCTTTAGGGCTCTGAGTGAAACACTGATGTATTTTTTTTTTTTGAGGCTGAACAAGACCAGGGTCTATGCTTCTCATTACTGCTCTGACTTCTCTGCCACTGATATGTTCTTAGTTTGGGGATAAAGGGATGGATTTCCTGTGTGTCAGTTGACACCCAGACAGTCAACAGTGACATCAGTGATGAACTGTGGGAGGGGGCCGGGGGTAACTCAGCCCTTAGAGGGAAGACAGAGCCAAGAGATTGCTTTTACTTCTGCACACCTATGAAGATTCAACTTGAAAATAATGAACTGTTCTGTCCCCTCTGAGCAAGAAAGACGACTAACGAAATCAGTCTTAGTTGTAGAAAGAGTTATGAGGTTCTATTATAGTTACTCCTTCCAGGCAGAAAGCTTAGCCAATGGCACTTGTGGAATTTCCTTTTCGAGAGATTTGTAACAATAGGTTAGATATACATCTGGCCTTGAATGCCTTAGGCAGGGTGCACAAAGAAACAGTACAAACGAAAATAGCGCTCTCACACACACACAAACACCCACCACCGTGTGTCCCAGGCCTCTCTCGTAGAATTTAACAGCCATTTTAACTTTAAAATAGTTTATATTCTCACCCACCCTTCAGCTGAATCAAAGTCTGAACCACATCAGTCGCAGAAGAAACTTTGAAAGTTGGCCGAAGGTCATTTACCTGTACTAGGAGTTCCAGCTTCCTGTCATCAAGAAGATGGACTTGACATCGACGGCCCTCCGTCATCTAAGAAGAAAGACAAAAGATGGTCACTGAGAGTCTAGCAGCCTGACAGATGGTTAGAGGGTCCCCTAGGCTGGGAAAATATGACGTCACCAGGCACCTGCCTCTGGGCAAAACCTCCCCTGGGAGTTGGAGCTAATTAACGCCAAGAAGCAGCAGGATTGGTTTGTTCATTCATTCAGAAACATTTATTGAGCACTTGCTAGGTGCCAGGTGCTATTCTGGGAGCTGGGTGCACAGTGGCACAGAAGACAGGTCCCTGCCCTCATGCAGCTTATATTCTTAGGGGGAGATGTCAAGTAGATTACCAAATCCGTATATAACATAATACCAGGTGGTGATACGTGTTCTGCATTCTTCAGTCCTTCTTCCATCTATGAATTTTATCACCATGCACTGAGGACAGAGTTCAGTACCTGGTCTCTGCCATCTCGCACTTCGTCCCTCTAATTGACCACAGGGAGCAGACGACCATCCAACTGGCAACTCCATTTGGTTTCTGTGTTAATCCTCCCCGTCCTCGTTTATGACCCTAGTCCCTCCAGAGCTTTCACTCATATCACAGGGGCCCTGGAGATAAGTGCTCACAGCTGGACTTGACCCCTGGCCCTTGCGCCTTTCACCACTAACACATCCGTGTGATGTAATCCAAAGAGCATCTTGGCAGGCACTGGGAGACCCAAGTCCAGACTTAGCCCTGCTGGCTATTGGCTGCGAGACTTCGAACAAGCCTCTGCTCATCTCTGCACCCCAATCTCAGATACAAAAATGAGTGGGCAGGCCCAGTGGAGATGTTGGTGAGTGTTTAACAGGCTTTCTAGAAGGAAAAAGCCTTCATTGGGAGCATTTGCGAGAGCCCTGGCATCACCCTCAAAGGAAATCCTCTTAAGAGCGCACCTTCTGGTGGATGTCCGCTGGCCACAACTCTAACCAAGAAGTGTCTTGCTGCACTCCAAGCATCCTTCACCAGGTCTACCTTCAAGCTACTGTCAGGCCCATGCTGAAATGTCTCCAACAGACAGATACAATACACACGAGCGCAAAGGACAGTAAAATAACGAGGAGGTGATGGGTTTATTTAGTTAGTTACTATAGTATTTGTTACCTTGGTTTTTAATATAATTTATTTAATCATAAGTTTGTATAACTGAATGTTAATAATGGCTATGGTTTATAACTGGTGCACAAAATTCCTGAAAATGTAGCAAATGGTTTTTACAAGTGGATACACAATAGTCCAACACTGCCGTCTAGGCCAGGAAACCCAGAGATGCCTTCTGGTCTTTGGGTTTTCATATGACCGCAGCCCCCACTGAAGCCACCTGCTTTTTCCCAGCTGCCAGCCCCTTCGTGCAGATCAAAAGGAGGGATGCACACGGGCGGATTCTGGCCCCGCCTCACTGCACGGTCACTGGGGTCCCTTCTCCGCTTTCTCCAGGTAACGTGGGGAAGGTGGCCTCCCCGCTCCGCATCCCACAGGGCTCACTCTCTGACCATCAGCATGTGCAAAGCTATCATGTACTGTCACGAGAGACTCTTTTCCTTCCTCCAAAGGAGCCACCCAAGTCATATCACCATTCATGCTTCCATCAAGTTATGTTATTATTCTTAATTATTCATAATAATACTCTCCAGCTATACAAAGAGGAGGTATTGCTATGTGTGGCAACATGGATGGACCTTGAGGGCCTTCTGCTTAAGTGAAACAAGTCAGAGAAGAAAAGACAAATACCATTGATCTCACTTAAATGCAGAACCTAAAAAAATAAAAATAAAAAATAAAAACCATGAGCTCATAGACTCAGAGAACACACTGGTGGTTGTTAGAGACAGGGGAGTGGGGAGAGGAGGAGAGGGTGGGCAAATTACCTGAAGTGGTCAAAAGGGACAAGCTTCCAGCTAAAATAAGTAAGACGTGGGGATGTATCATTCAGCAGGGTGACTACAGCTAATATACTGTATTGCACATTTGAGAGTTGCTAAGACTTTTTTTTTTTAGATATTTGAGAATACCAAGCAGATAGTTATAAAAGTTGGAGGTGAACAACAGGTTTGAAATTAAGTTCTTTCAATCAAGTTTGGAAACGTCACCATTCTTTAGGGCTCTGAGTGAAACAATGATATATATATACTTTTGAAGCTGAACAAGACCAGGGTCTATGATTCGCATTAAAAGTTCTCATCACAAGAAAAAAACGTTTGCAACTTATACATGAGGACAGATGTTAACTAGACTTATCGTGGTGGCCATCACAGTATACATAAATATCAAATCATTATGTTGTATGCCTGAAAGTAATATCATGTTATAAGTCAACAATGTCTCAGTAAAAAAACAAAAAAAAAACTTTTACAAAGTAAAGAAAACACTTTGCTAGGAAAAAAAAAATCTGTCAGCTTCATTTCAATTACTCCCTCAACTAAGTTCAATCAAAGCTACTACAATTTCAAATTATACTAAAATAAAGGCTGCCAAATCAAAACGTATAAATGATTCCTGTATCAAAAAAGTGCACCAAAAATGTTCACGTTTCGACAGGACAGTTGATACCAATAGCACAGGCACTTTGGATAAAATTCTAGACATTCAGCAATTCAGTTCTTACTAGGAAGAACTCAAGGTCAACAGAGAGGGAGTTTTAGGGAGGAGAGTGTACAACCATCTGGCATATTATCTTGAAATTCCTTTAAAAATATTTTATTAAAAGTTTGAGAAAACTCTCTGCAGGGTGGGGACAATTTTAAGGAATTTTAAGAAAGAAACACTGCTTGTCCTTTGCATATTTAAAACACAGAGTTTTGAACTTCATTGTAAAAGGTTAAGGGTATAAACACGCTCATGAGTTACTTATTCACATTCTAGTAAGTTGTAAAAAAAAACAAAACCCAAGGAAAATTCATCTCCAAAAGACATTTCCTGTATCGAATAAAGTTCTAATCACAGTCATAAAAAAGAAGTGTATCACTTTCTCAGAATGTTTCCAAGCATGCAAAGTGTGACAAGACACTGAGTTCAAACCCATCCCTGAAGGTTCCCCCTCAGATTCTCCTTTTCATCTGAAACATACAATTCCGATCACATTACTCTCACCTTATCTGCACAGCAACTTAAGAAGTAGCTACACAGCCGGATGTTAAGATCTACCCATGGATTTTCCAACTTCATTCTTCTCTTCAACAAACTCTCACTAAGCCCCGGGAAGCCGAGACGCACACTCCCTATTCTAACAGGAAATTTATAAGCCGTCTCCTTTTCGGGAGGCAAACTGTCCCTGAGAAAAGTCAGCACAGAGAGTGAGTGAGCCTGGACAGAAATTCAACTTTGAATCATCATGATTCTGAAAGCACAGCTTTCTTTTGACAGCACGACTGTGGGGTTTTTTTGTTTTGTTTTGTTTTGTTTTTTGTTTTTCCTCCAAAAGGAGACCTGTTTGTTGCTCTATCTGGATGTAAGATCGGAGTGTCCTGTTCTCATTGCCAGTTCAGAAAAGGTCTGCCTTCCTGGGTGAGTTCGGAGCAAAAGTAGCTGAACATCTGTAGCCCTGTCTGGCTGCCCGAGCAGAGTGAAATTTTCTCTTGAATACTAACAATTGTCAAGTCATACTGCTTTCCTTGTTTTCATTTTCAGCTGCTCGGGCATAACTGAGGGCTGGCATCACCCTCAAAGGAAATCCTTCTGGAGAACAAGGCTTCTTGTAGAAGTCAGCTGGCTACCACTCCGACCGTAAACCATCTTGTTACAATACAATTCTATACCAAGTGGACGCCTGCCAAGTGCACTGTGATTCCAAAGGCTATGTAGAAAAAAAAGTGTTATTTTGAAAGTGAGGTGTCCACCTCATTTATCCAGCTTTGCTGTTAAGACACACACTGAATCATGAAAACTATGCATAAACATGGAAATGCATTGTGATAGGAGCTTAAGTGAACGTAGCAGAATATGAAACGTGTATTATCAAGGCAGCCAAGACAATTGTGCTTATGGGTGGTCACCCACCCCACCCAGATACTCCTTCATATCTTCTTTCCTTTTTTCCTTTCATTTTTATTGTTTGATTTTCACTTACATGCGGAATCTAAAAAAATGACACCAATCTATTTACAAAACAGAAAGAGACTCACAGACATAGAAAGCATCTTCTTTCTTTTTCAGTTAAAAAAGGTAAAAGAGAAACTTCAGCTAGGAAAATGAATAATGATTTTTGAGGTCAGCCTTAGGAGATGAAGCCAAGAAGTTTCCTTCTCAGCAAGTTCACTTCAGACTGCCTATGTTTTTAATGTGTCAGATCAAACTAATTAACTTACAAATGAGAATTATGATTAGCACATACGTTAGAGATCTCAAGATTGAAGGTCTGACACCTTCTCTCCCTGCAGGAGGAATTCACAGGAAGCCAATGGTGACTGAGAGTGGAGGGCAGGCTCTGAAAACAGGGAATTATAAATACCTGTGTCTGAGGGTCTCCTCCATCCACCCAGAGCCTGATCAATACCTGCCGGCAGAGGGAGCCCCCTCTACAGGGCATTACTGAGAAACAAATAACTAACAAATGGGCAATGACAAACTCCCCCAAGCAGCAATTTTGAAGTGCTTTCCATGGAGAGGTACTGGGTATGAAGTTTACCATGTAAAAACATGTTTTATAAGCATATTTTCCCTTTAAATTCAAAACTCAGTAAATCCCACTTCAATATCCTTCTTATTATCACCTTTTTTCTCTACATGTCACCCCTCCCTCTCAGAGCCACTTCATAGATGTCCTCTCTACCCTTTTTCTTGCCCCTTGTCAAATACTTTGCATCCAATTTGAATATACACACCATACTTCGGAGGAAGTACTCTGAAGAAATAACCCTACTTCCACTGCTTATAACATTTTCTTTTTTTTGCTTATAACATTTTCAGACAAAGCTAATGCAGCTGTGCAAACGACTATGGGGTAGCATGTGCTGAGCTTAGAAAACACATGGTTTTTAAACATAAAAACTAAAAAATATTCAAT